GCTATTACTTTTTTAAAAACCTTTTTAAAATATAGTTTTACTGATTTCAGAGAGAGAAGGGGAAAGGGAGAGAAAGAATCACACATCAGCTGTACACCCCCTACTGAGGATCAAGCCCACAACCCAGGAATGTGCCCTGACTGCAATCCAACTGTGACCTAGTTCATGGGTTGACACTCAACCACTGAGCAATACAGGCCTGGCTAGATGGCTATTTCTAATCTCCATTAAAGTGTTTAAAAGAGTGCATGACAGGCTCATATATAGTAACTAGAGGCTCAGTGCACAAATTCGTCCACCAGTGGCGTCCCTGGGCCTGGACTGCAGGATCAGGCTGAAACTGGCTCTCCAAAACCCCAAAGGGGTCCAGGGTTGAGATATGGTGAAGGCCAGACCAAGGGACCCCAAGGTGCAGAATCAGGGCCAGGGAGAGATGCTGGAGGTTGGCCAAATGAGGAGGGACCCCAGGAGGGCTCCAGGGCATATCCAGCCCATCTTGCTCCATCCTGATCAGCCAGGCCCCAGCAGCAAGCTAACCTATCAGTTGGAGTGTCTGCTCCCTGGTGGTCAGTGCACATCATAGTGAGTGGTTGAGTGGCCTTAGCATTTCATTATACTATTACACTTTGATTGGTTGAATGGCCAACTGATGGACCAGACACTTAGAATATTGGGCTTTTATTATATAGGATTACCACCTGCAACTGGAAGGTACACAATATGGAATTCTGGTACAGGCCCTCATTTTAAGAATGACCGAATTCCTGCCCACCTTGAGTGTCTCCGTTGGTTGAGCATCCTCCTGAGCAGAGAAATATTTGTCAGTTAGATTCCCTGTCAAGGCACATACCTGAGCTATGGGTTTAATCCTGGGTCAGGATGTGTATGAGAGGCAACTGATTGATGTTTCTCTCTCATATCTATGTTTCTCTCTGTCTGTCTTCCTCTGTCATGCCATGTGCTCAGGTAAGGATTTAAAAATAATTTTAAAAGAATGATAGAACTTCAGAGAGGACTGAATTCTAAGCTCAGGGTGGCCTCTTGTGCCAAAGTCAAATTCCTGATAAAGAAAGCATGAAGCCACAAAACTCAGAGTGGCTTTCTGAGAACTCTGAACTCTATATCCTTCTGAATCCACTGTCCTGCAAAAGAGACCCCTGCCCCTGTTGGTATACAGACCACTGCCTAACCCACCATCTTGCTTGAACTAAGATTATGCAGAGTTATCTCAGCATGACCAAACTAGGAATATACTAGATGAGCCTGCTAGCTGAAGAGAAAGTTTACTCCAACAGAGCTGCAGGTCTAACCCACATGTACTAACAGCAGCCAGGAAATTGTGTGTGGAAGTGAATCCTGGAAAAATTATGTTAGAATATAAAATATGGATGGGGGATTCTCATACAGGCACACTCTCCTGGGCCACAGAGCTTAATTAGCCTGGCAAGGTCCAAAGGCAATGATTCTAATATGCTCCCAGGTGGCTCTTAGAGGCTTGCTATAGCACAATGCACACCAGATGAAGTGGAAGAAGAAATACAAGACTTTCCAGGGCTGATCATTTAAAGGGGGGATCCAAAGTCTTAAGGCGGTATCATGGCTCTACTGTCTAAAACTAGATATTCCATCCATCAGGTTACTGCGTCCTCAGATGCCTCAGAGACACCACCTAAGAAGGCAATAAGGAATGCACTGCTGAGACAGCAGCTGCATCCTTGAAATGCTCAGTCCAGACTGTCCTATGTAGGTTGGAAAAATGTAGGAATAATTTACAGAGCTGGATTCCCTAATAACAAATTCAGTGACAGGTCTTCAGAATAACTGAAGCTAAGGTGCAGTATTAACTGATGATTAATTTGTATAATGGGCAGCAAGCTTAGAATCACAACCAGGGACCCTGGCCCATAGATGTCTAATAAATTAGATATTATAAGACACTGTTCTTACAGGCAAGACACATGAGCAGTTAACCAGGATATTGCTTTTTATATGTCATCAAAAGAGATTATAGATGATCAGATGGTTGAAGTGCTACTTCAATGAAAAGACAACATTCCTTGCCCACTTTCCAGACCTCAGCCAATTCTTGACCCAGAAGCTGTTGATGGCAGTTCTTATAAGAAAGGACTGTGCAAAGTACACCATAGTAATTCCCTGAGTTCTTCACTAAAGGCACCTTTAGCCATTTATTCAAGTAACTATATGTGAGACAAAGATAACTCACAGAAATTTTAAAAGTTATTGATACAGTATATGAGTTGATACCTTGGGACCCAAGATACCATAGTGGCCCCTATTAAACTACATGGAGATAAGGTCATGTCCATCCAACAGTGAGTCCACTCAATCCATAGAGCCACCCAGCATTCATTTCCCAAACATCAAACGTATAATCAGGACAAACAAATTGTTTTATTAACCATTCCTTTCTTAACCTATGAAATAACAATGACTGTCCTAGGAAAGACCAAATGAAAGGCTCTGAAACAGAACTTTTACACAGTGAACACAGTAGGCTAAAAGCAGTATTGCATTTCTTAGGAAGGAGGAAATGACAGCGGTTGGTGCCACTGCAAAGATTGAAGGATGAAAGGGTTATAATCCCCTTTACATCTCCATATGTTTTAGCAATCTGGTTTAGGAAAAAACTAGGTGCTTTCTGGCTACTAGATAACTACTAGAAGCTTAAGCAAAGTTGGGGCTTATAGACTCAGCAATGAGACCTTAGTAGACTGCATTCTTGCTTGTAGTGGTCCCTAAGGTGAGATCCCAAGTAGTAGCTCTGCCCTTCTGAGGACCAAGCCAATGGTTCCATCTAGCCAGAGCTCAGTTGGGAGTTTTATCTGATTTGGGTACTCAGTCAGAACATACCAACCAAGGAACCCATTCTACTACCATGCCTAACCAGAGAAGCACTGCAAGGTATAGCTCCAGTCCTAGCCATTTAGAAGGCTTGATCAGAGAACCCAGGCAGCCATGGTAGCAAGCTTATAGGTCAGTTGATCTATGGAACCAGATCTACAACTCTGGCTAGCAACAGAACCCAGCTTGTAACCCTGAACAAATGCAGAGTCCAAGAAATGGCATGACCATACCACAAAACACAGGTTGAAACTTCATTCAACAAGAGATGATTGCTGAGCTCAGCAAGTAGACTCATCAAGCCCCAGAGTTCAGCCAGCAGTTGTGGCTGATCAAGGAGCCCAACCTATAAGTCCACCAAACCACAGAGCTCAGCCATCATCCAAGTAGCAATCTCAGAGCACAGGCACTAGCCTTCCCAACTGAGACACTGATGACATGCCCCATCTTCCCATGGATGCTACCAGCTCTCCTGTACTGTATTCCAACCTGAGCTGACTAATGAAGGCATTTTCCTGATGAAGTGAACCTGTAGGTCTGGAAGAAGAGGTTGCTTACATATATGCACTGATACTGACACAAGAAATCAAGGATCATGAAGATTCAGGTGAACAGTACACTAAAAAAAACTAAAAAGCTCTAATAACTACCCCTAAAGAAATGTGGATAGATAAATTATCTGAAAAACACTTCAGAATAATCCTCTGAAAGAAATTCAGTGAACTACAAGACATTATAGACAACTCAATAAAATAGAAAAACAAATGAGCAAAATAAGAAGTTCACCAAAAAGAGAAAGAAACTATAAAAATATCCTAGAACTGAAGAATACAATAACTGAACTGAAGAATTTAATAGAGAGATTTAACAGCAGACTTGACAAATAGAAGGAAAAAAAATCAGTGCACTAGAAGATAGGTTACTTAAAGGTATTTATTCAGAGAAGGAAAGAAGAGTGAAGAATGCCTATAGGATTTATGAGACATTATTAAGAAAATCATATACTCACTAGAGGCCCACTGCATGAAATTCATGCATGGGTTGGGTAGGGGGGCATGGAGAGTGGTCCCTCTGCCCGGCCTGCACCCTCTCCAATCTGGGACACCTCAGGGGATGTCCACAAGGATCAGGCCTAAACCAGCAGTTGGACATCCCTCTCACAACCGCTCACCTGCCTGCCTGTCTGATCACCCCTAACCCCTCTGCCTGCCTGCCTGCCTGCCTGATTGCCCCTAACCCTCTGCCTGCCTGCCTGATGGCCCCTAACCCCTCTGCGTACCTGCCTGTTCACCCCTAACTGTCTCTGCCTGCCTGCCTGATGTACCCAACTCCTATGCCAGCCTGATCACCCCTAACCACTCTCCCCTGACAACCTGATCATCCCTAACCTCTGCCTTGGCCCCGCTATCGTGGCTTTGTCAGGAAGACATCTGGTCTATCTGGTCTTATTAGCATATTACCCTTTTATTCTTATAGATTATGGGAATTCCAAAGGGCAAAAGTTAAGAAAAGGACAGAAAGTCTACTTAAAACAATAATGGCTAAAAACTTCCCATGTTTGGGGAGCAAAATGGACTTTCAGTTTCATGAAGCCCAATGGACCCAATAGGTAGAAACTGAAAAGGGCTACACAGACACACTTTACAATTAAATTGTCAAAAGTCAAAGCCAAAGAGAGAATTTTAAAAGCAGCAAGAAAAAGGTAACTTATCACATGCAAGAAATTCCCCATAAGACTATCGGTGACATCTGAATGGAAGCTGCTCCTGCTGAGGCTGCTGAAGCCCCTCTCTTTCCTATGCCCTTTGTTCCATGTCCCTCTTCTGTCACTGCCTGTCCTGATTTTCAGCGTTCCAGACCCTATAGCTCCAGCTACTTCCCTGTTTTTGGTGTCTATATACAAACAAGAGGATTCCAGTGGGCTGCTGCTCTTTCCCTGGCCTCTAGGTCCTAACTAACTGTTTTTATTCCTTATTCCTGTTGCCACATGTTATGATGGCTGAGATTCACTATCGGGCTGCAGGAGGAGGGAGAGTGTCTGAAAACACTCAAAAAGTTACTTTCATTTCTCATTTCCCCATTTGGGTGGAGCCCTCCATGGGTGATTTTACGCACTTCCTGCTCAGGGCTTGGCAGCCACAGCGGGCCTAGGCTGGGGAGACTGGAAGGATCAGAGGTCCAGGCAATGCCCACAGCAGGACAATGGCCAGTGGCGGCAGCTACCTCAGCACCAGGTCAGTCTCTGTCTCCCTTCCTTCATTTTTTTCTCTGGCTGTGCTGATGCTTTAGTGTGTATCATTAGACACTCGTCTCAACCTTGACATCCATCTGGCTTTGCAAGGACACTTATGTGCAATGTAATGAAATGCAGGAATATATAGTGAAGGAATCAAATCTTAGAACTAGGGAGAGACAACTGTGTTGTTATTTCAACTGCCACAACCCATAGGACTCTTGTCTTACAGCTACTGCTCAGCTGGCAGCCCATCATGACTCTATTGCACTTTCTGACTCTTTGAGACAGTGATTTGTTCTTTTCTTATGAACTATGAACCTTCTCATTTCCCTCAGGCCTCCTCTGACTTCACCTAGGTCATTTCAACGAAAGAACTTTAGAAAATACAAAATTCAGGGTGAACACATGAAATTTTCAAATCTGGGTGCCTTGGTCTTATACCTCATCTGGGGACAGGTCAGCTACGGGTTTATTCTTGTCTATGACTGGGGGTCTGGATTCTCCCTCCAGGGATCTTGACCTAAAGGAGTAAAAGTAAGAGGAAGGACCAAGAAATGAAAGACTAGTGCAGGCTGAGTATTTTCATCTGCACTTTGAGTTTCTGCTCTGGAATGCATTATACCTCTGACAAGGAAAAGGCCAAAAATTCAATCTTTTTCTTTTGTAATCGGTTAGAAATAACATTACTTAATATGTTTAACTTTTTTAATACCGAAGAATTACATTTTACCTCTTGTTCATAAAGTTTCAAATCACATGCAAATGCATAGAGGGGAAAGTCCCCTTCATGTGCCACCCACCTGAAAGCTCTCAGTCCAGATCCTATTGTGTGTTGCAGGAGCATATCTCTTTCTCTGCATTTACACATATAACTGATTTTCCTAAATACGTAATTTGTGTCTTGTTTTTAAACAAATGGAATTTTATTGCATTTTGCATTTTCAGTTATTTTAGTATTGAAAATATTAGAGACCTTTTCACTTTAATAAACATACTGATCTCCCTCATTCTTTTTTTGATATATTTTTATTGATATCATAGAGGGAGAGGGAGAGGGAGAGGGAGAGAGAGAAACATCAATGATGACAGAGAATCATTGATTGTATGCCTCATGCATGACCCACACTAGGGATTGAGACCACAACCCGGGCATCTGCCCTGACTGGCAATCGAACCATGACCTCCTGGTTCATAGGTTAACTCTCAACCACTGAGCTATGCTGTCCAGGCTCCCTCATTCTTTTGTACAGCTGTATACTACTCCATGGAATCAATATGCCATAATTTTTAAACCATTCGCTTCCATTGATAAACACTCAGGTTATTTCAACAACCTGTGTTAACAACAATTATATAGTTCTCTCTTTTATGCAGATTTACATAAGTTTGTCTGGTGTCAATAACCAAAAAATCAAATTGTTGAGGCAAAGAGTACTAATACTTACTGGTTTACAGATTCTGTTAAGTTGCCATCCAAGTAACTGAACCAATATATTCTCCTAACAATACTGAATGAGATGAGTCATCTGTCAACATGCATTTTCACATAGGTGCTAGATACAGAGATTCATTTTGTTAATTTGTATTTTCTGATTATATGAGAGGAGGAACAGTATTTTATGTTTATTGACCATTTAAATTGGCTCTTGGATGATATGCTGCATTATTTCTTGCCAGTGTTATCATTGAGATGATTGTCATTTATTTGATTAGGGAGAATTTTAAATATTCTGTAAGTTGCAAGTTTACTTTCCTATTCTTTTTCTTTGTTTTTGGTGACTTCTATCTTATTAAAGCTTGATATTTAAAGTACAGACTTGTTTTAGTATTGATTTATGAGATAGATATACCCTGGTTATTATCTATAATAATAAAAGCATAATATGCTAATTAGACTAGAGTCCTTCCAGACGATCTTCTGGACGAAGCCGGAGCTGCTAGGGAAGCTCAGGTCCCGGGTGCCAGAGGGAAGCTGGTGCCGGCAGCTGGGGGAAGGAAGGCCTACTCTTGCCTAAATTTCATGCATCAGGCTTCTAGTGAATAACTAGGAGCAATGAGGAAAGTTACTGGTGAACTCCACGCACACCGTCTTTAACCACAGTTTTCACGTTCTTAAGGTGGCAGGTTCAGTTCTACCCTTACTTCAGAGGAATATTTTTCTCTAGCATCTTCAAAACTATATTCTTTTTTTAACTTGTGGGCAAAACTATTCTTTCAATTGGTGCGACATTAGCCTTCACAGCTTTATCTGTCCCTAACGAATCATCTCTAGCTTTTGACTTTCTGTTCATAATGGTTGTCTCAAACCTAGTTCTTCTATGAAAATTATTTCATTTTTTATAGTTTATCATGCTTTGTCATTCCTAATTAAAAGTTGATTGTGCTTATATTTGAGGGGTGCCTTAATTTTCTTCAACAGCCCTGCAAGTCTGACTATAAAACCACGTTTTATATCAGCCCATCGGCACAATGTTGCTTTATTTTTTTAGGTGTTTGTGTGATGTTAAGTGCCTTGGGGACATCTTCCTCACCCCCTGGGTTATCCTCCACATTGACCCTGTCTGCATTTTGGTGTACACTCTCCTTATCACGCGCCGGCCTTAGTTTTACCACCCATTTCTCATGCTTACCCCGGGCAGCTCTCCTTTCTCCCCCAGTTTGCAGTGTCTTCATCTGAGCGAAATTTTTTTTCACATCTCCTGCCTTAATTTCTTCGCATCTGATGTACAATTTGAAGGTGTCTTTTGTGTCCCAGCAAATGGTGCAGTAGCACAAGTTTTTGTTTTCTCTCACCTGCACTTCTGAGACTTCCGGTACCTCGGTGGGGCTGTGTGGCCTTGGCCATGGAAAATGCCAATATTTTCCAAAGAGGTGGGTGTCCCCTCTGTGACTGAGTCATGTTGGTCTCAGAGCACTACCCCCATGTGGATGTGGTGGGTGATGGGAGCCCATGCCTGGGGGATCCCGGTGCTGCCTCCTGTAACCAGAGGCTGCCACCAGTGCTGTGCAATCTGAGGTGTCCCAGCTGCCTCCACCAGGTTCCACTGCAATGGATGGGGTTGTGAGGGTAGGGTGGGTTTGTGTCTGTGCCTGTATTCTTTTCCTAGTAACAGTGATGGCCAGAACTTGGCTGCCACATCTCTGCATCTCTGCTCCTGTCACTGGATTTAGCTATCAAGTGCTCTGGCCCCTCTGGCCAGAAGGAGGGTTTTCCATCTCAGGCCATCCAAGCTGCTGAGCGGGTGCATTGTGTCCTGACATCCTGGTGCTGTTGCAAGCTCCTGGAGGGTGAAGGGAAGTGGGTATGCACATCTGTGGCTTTGTTTTCTGGCTGGTAATGGCAGCTTCGGACTGCAGCTGCCACACCTCTCTGTTGAATCTCCACCACTTTCAATGGGTTCACCATGTGTGTGCTGGCCACCCAGACCAGAAATGTTGCTTCTGCTCCTCAGGCCCTGCATTTCAATTCTTCATCTGTTACCATGTCTTCTGAGGCCCCACCAAGTTCCTGGCTGCATCTGCTACTCCTTTCTGTCCTACCCCCAGTCCTGCCTGCTCTGTTGGTTCCAATACACCCACCTCCAGATGTCTCCAAGTGTGGGTCTCACAGACATATGTGTGTGTTGAGCAGGGAGTCCTTTTTGGAATTAGAGTTGTCAAACTTGTTGTAATTTCAAGGGGAGAAACCAAGTAGTTTACCTCACTCTGCCATGATGCTGACCTCGTTCACATTTAGTGTTTTAAATAATATAACGTTTACTATTATAATTTATTTTCTGTTTTAACTTTTAGAATTCCATACTATTTTCCTTAGATTTTTCTGTCTAAAAATTCAAACTATGTTTTATTCTTTTGATTTTTTTTACTGTTTTATAAGGCATCATGGGGTCTGATTTCACTCAACCAGTGTTGCTTTTAAATTCTGAAATTCGTTTTCATCAATATTTGTGTAATTGTTAGCATTTAATTTAAAACCATATCATTCTAGGTTTTTATATCTCAAACAAATCATTTAACTCGAGTTTTCCTTTATCACACTGTTCAACACTTTAAGTTGATTAGTAGACTTTGAATCTTTTACACCAAAATAGTTACTCTTATTCTGTAAAATAAAATTCTTGTTTTTCTAGAATAATTTTCTACATTAAAATCCTGTACATATTTTCTTATCTACAAACCTAGGGTTTTCATTATATTGGTGCTATTGTAAGTGGTATTGTTTTATTTAATATCTAAGTCCAATTTTTCAATGGTGTTGTATACAAAAATTTCTAATATTTGAATATTACCTTGTATCCTTGCTATATTTACTTATTAGTCTTAGGAGATTTTTTTCAGTCAATTCTTTAGGATTTTCTACATAGACAATCATGTCATCTACAAACACTGTTATTGCTCCTTCCCGAACTTTACACTTTTAGCTTCCTTTTCTTTCTTTCTTTCTCTTTTTTTAATTTACTATGTTTTTCACTACAATGTTGAATAGGAGTTTTAAAGGGGGACATCTCTGATTTTAGGGGGAAAATGCATGTTCTTAACAGTAAGTATAGTATTAGCTACAAGTTATTGGTGGATGTTTTCCTTCAAGTTGAAAAAATTCCTCACTATTTCTAGTTTTTACATGAGTGGGTGTTTGATTTTGTCTAATAAATTTTCTATAGCAATTGATATCATCATTTTATTTTTCTTCTTTAGCCTCTGGACATAGTGGATTATATTGATTGATTTGAAATATTAAACCATCCTTACATGACTGGAATAATTTCCACTTGGTCGTGGGTATAATATTTTATACATTGATGGATGAAATTTGCTAATATTTTGTTGAAGTTTTTTCCTACAATACTTGTGAGAGCTATTGGTTTGTAGTTTGCCTTTATTTGCTTATGGTGACACAGTATTGCTGGATTATGTCTGAGGACATACTCTTCATGAGTTAAGAAGTGTTCCCTCTGCTTCTATTTTCTGAACAAGATTTTGGAGAATTGGCATCATTTC